AGGCAACAGAGATATTTTTCACAACTTAGGAGTGATTCTACTGAAAGCCAAGGCCCAGGCAGGAAGAGTTAAATTTTTGGTTTGATGCTGTTTAGCATTCTCCTTTGCACACTCTTTGCACCACCTTACTTTCTTGATGCCAGGCTGGGAGCGTGCCAGATCCAGGATGGATTCAAGAAGCGTTGGCACTCAAAGAGATTCCAAAGGAAGGCCCAAATCTTCAAGAAAGGAATCCTCAGAAGATGATTGCCAAAGAACGACCTGAGACTTGTCAGGAGCTTAAGAAAACTTTAGACATTTGTTCAAAGCAGCCAGAGAGTTAACTGACTGTCATCTGACTGACCCTCGCTTTACCATGCATTTGTCTGTTTGGACAATTTTGGACAGGTCTCCAAATCATTCGGCCAGCCAAGCTGATAGAAGTTCTGGAGGTCCTTGCAGACAGCACATCAGACTGGGGAGCTCGTGTGACTGACTTCGATATTTTTGATGCATCCTGTCAGTAGCCTGTTTGCAGTGAAATCACTGAAGCATCCCAATCTACCCGGTAGTGTTGTCCCAATCACTGAAGCATCCAGTGTGTTGTTCTACCCGGTCCCAAATGTCCAGTGCATCCACTTTGTGACTTCTTCTGAAGGCAACAGCGCTTGGAAAGATCCTGGCCAACATGACGGGCCTTGGAGTATAACAGTGTAACAGGAACAGTGGAACTTTGTGGAGCTTCTTCATGCGGCGTTGTCTCCCCACAGCGTTGGGCAAAGGGGCCACCAATTGTGCTTGGTGGTTTGGAGAGTTTGGAGGCTCTGAATTTGGTCGTAATCCTGAGAAGCTTCATCACGCTGCTTTGTGCTGCCTTCATGTATTCGGATTTTGCCATGTTGCCAAGATGAAGACGAAGAATCTAATTGCCACACCCCTTTAGCAGCAGCCATCATCGTGCTTGGCCAAAGAGTACGACAAGAGGGACCAACATCCTGCAACGTGACTTGCCGCCGTGATGTAGCAATGGCATGAAATGGCCAAGAATGACGCCAACTTTCTGCATTTTGTCGCTCTTCCCAGCTCCTGTATCACTCCTCTGCTGGAGCACATGTCTATACCAACTGAAAAAAGGAGAGTGATTGTTCTGCATTTTGCTTTGCTGATGCCTTGCATACAGGAACTCATTAGTTAACTGAAATGTGGTCAGTGAGGTTCTGATGGAACGCCAGTTGCCACCCCACACACACCTCATGCACCCGAAGCCTCTAAGATGGTGCTCCTGTCTTGGGTTAAGCAAGGTCGACTCCGAAGACCAAAGATTGGGCAGTTCAATTCGGCCAGGCCCAAATCTTTCAAGAGATTGACACATCCGGCGATGGAATCCTACAGTTGGATGAGTTTGTGACTGGCATTGAGAAGGCCTGCAGAAAGCAATTGAGTCATCGCTTGCAAGAGTTTGTAAGATTTATGCTTGTGGGTGGAGTGGCAGTGGCTCCCACCACAGCAGCAACAACACGAGCAGTAGTAGTGTTAGTGGTCGCCAGTGGTCGCATACATCTTTTTTGTATGGTGGTCCAATGAGAGTCACAGTCCAGTGGTAGCGACAATTACGCAGCTGTTAGAAAACCCCGTTCTAGGATTTTTTTGCCACGACTTGGATCATTAACACATACGACATCATACGACCAATATCAAGCTGTTCCATGTGCAAACTTTTCGAACAAGACGTCACTGGCAAGGATTACAAACAAAAAGGGCATAATTTTGTTGAAGCAATGAGAGCTGGCAACGGCAGCATGCTCCCTCACTCGTTTCGTTGGGTCCCGCAAAGCCTGCAGGCAGAAAACATCTTTGCATGCCGCAAGTTGCAGGCTATATTTATAATATGTATATATATATATGTATAACTTGTCACATGAAAGGACTCAGTTCAGCTATATAATATACTGTAATTGCTGTAGACAGAAAGCAATCGCTAGATTGCATGTCTTAGTCTTGGCCATGTGGTCACTCAGACTGGGTCAGACAAATAGAATTTGCATGTGGGTGAATGTGGGAATCAAGCAATCTGTCAAACCGTCCCATGTATGCAACCCTCTACTGGGATTCTTACCTACACAAATTTTCAATATTCTGTGCAATGCCACACACATAAAGTTTTACTTCATACATAACTTTTCAGAAAGGTGGAATCTGTAGCTGGTTGGGATCAGGGACTCCAAGGTAGCAAATCAATGTAGGAAGCTGTTCAAAGCACATGAACCTATTTTGCAAGATCAGTTGCTGCAAGTTGCTGCAAGTAACTTTCTTCCGACTAGTGAGCACGTACGAGCTAGGGGCTAGGGTCAACCCCAATACGAGTCACAAGCAATTTGTTAGTGAGCGGTCGTGGGATCTCTAGATGCAGCTGCTTTCCTGTGAGAGCAAAACAACGCATCAAACCTTGAGACTTACTGCAATGAATTCTGTCCATTCATCACTCTGATCAAGCCACAACGACTGACCAAGTTGTGCATATGCGTGCACTACTAACACAGTCACCCGAAAATTCACTGGAGGCATGTTGTTTGTTCGTTTGACTTCTTTCAAAGCTTTGGCATTGCCAGTTGCCTGGCTTGGACAAGTGCAGTATCGATGGGGCTCCGCTGTCGTTCAGCACTCAGATGCACTCAATGCCAAACATCCTTATCTTCCGACTTGCTAGACAAGTTGTACATATTTATGCACTATATACTAGGACAACTCCTTAACGTATTTGTATATATATATAATACCTGTATTATGTTCTTCGTTCAATTGACCTCCTTTCAGATAAAAAAATGAAATGCCAGTTGCCTGGCTTGAACAAGGGCAGTATTGATGGGCCCCGTGTTGTTCAGCATATTGTTTGCATTTCCTGTCACCTAAACCACAGCAAGTGTATATTGCGTGATTGAGGCATGAGAAGCTGGTGGAGATCTCAAAGATTTTGGACGTGACGCATGATGGAACTTTGAACTATCTGGAATTTCAACAGGCGCTCTGGGTGAGCATTCTTTGTCTTTAGAGCATTGCAAGTGTTTGGAAAGGATTTCCCAAGCCCAAAATGACCTTGCAAGGCCTTCCAGCTGAAGGGACAAGGGACCACTGACCTTGAGAACAGTTTGGTCGAGGAGTCGCAAGATGTAGATTTGCCCACAGAGTAGCAGAGTAGCAGCAAAGTCATCGGATACTTTGTCTACGCATGTCTACGTTCTTGGTTCTTGGATCCCTTTTTGAGGACCTTACCACGCTGCTCTTCCGCAGGGCCCACAGTACCGAAGGAACCACAAATCATTATATAGTGCAAGCGCTTCTTCAAGGAAGCTTCCTCCGCCGCCTTTAGGGCTGCGGGGGGAGCTTCTTTGAAGAAGCGCGAGCTATCCTGCGTCCAGTTACTAGTAGCTACCTAGCTACTACTAGCTACCTCTAGCTACTACTAGCAACCTCTAGCTAACTTCCTACTCGTACCTACCTCTAGCGGCCAACCCCCCCCAAAAGAAAAGTACTGTGACCTGACAATTGAGGCTACAGGGTCCACATCCGCACCGGGTGCCAATTCCTGGACGAGGTTGCCAGCTGCAAAGTTCATTGTGAGGACGGGCGTCCCAAGAAGAAAGTTTTCTGCCAAAGGTTTTCTAGGCTGACCAGCAAAGCTTTTCTACCCCCTGAGTAGGCCCCTCTATCGTTTTTATTATATGCTCTACCATGCTTTACCGAATCATTTGTGTAAGTGACTGAGCTTCACTAACTTTAGATGACCGCTATGTGGCGGCAGCATGCGGCAACAAGGACTTTGGGAATGTGCTCCGTGGTGTGAACAATGCCCTTCGTTCGCGCGAACCTAAGCCTCCGATGTATGTGGAACAGCGCCTGATGTGCAATTGTCACACCTAGAAACCTGAAACCACAAGATTCCAGGAACGAGCAAGGAATCTCTGAGTCACAGATCACGCACCTATCTTCCGCCTTGACAGTGGAGGAGTGCGTGGTACCGGGGAGCAAAAACTGAATGCAAAATTCACCTCAGCCCATAAGCAGCAAGGATTAATAGAATATTGTACCAAGAGGGAGAAATAAGGAACTCCAGGATCCATGACATGCATCACTGCCACTTACAGGAAACTCTAAGTGTTTTGACTCGATGCGGAATCTGCAAGGAGGAAGGGGAGCAATTTGTAGCATATGACGAGTTTCTCAGGCCAGGAGCTGCCATGAGTAAAGAGATTTAGAAGGCTGTTGCTGTGATGGCAGGTCTTTCGTGATAGTTGATACGAACGACGGGAGCATAATTAAATCGTTTCACTGAGATTGCAAGGGTGGGCATGCAAATAGAACGCTCAAGATGAGTCTGCACATGTACATAACAAACTAACGTGCGCTTAAGAGATTTAATATGATTATGTATAGAATTATGCAATTTGACAAAAGGGTTTTGAACAGATGCTTGACCTTGCGCAAGCCAAGTTGGATAATCGCCATGAGGACAAAGTCTTCGCTAGGAGTTCCCAAATGGAATATTTGGGACCCGAGCTCGGCATGAGCCAAGCCATAAGGTGAGGCTGCTTGTCTCACGCTTATGCCACAAAGTGGCCAGCTTGAAATGGGTTTCACAGCTACAAGAGCAATGCCCACATTTTCATATTCACTTAACAGTCAACAGTGACAACACTAGCTACAATTCAATGGGGCCTTTGCCCTAGTGTGGCACTGCTCAAAACGAGAGTTCGGTGAACGTTGTAGAAATGGATTGATGACATTTATGTACTTGAGCAGCCTTTCGATTTGAAGGCCACCGTACAGCCTTAATTGATATTGATTGCAGAGTTTGCAGCGGCGAGTGGATCTATCCAGTGAGTAGCACAGGATTCTTTCCACCAAGGCAAAACAGTCTAGGAGTCTACAGCCAATGCAGCAGCAGCAGCAGCAGCCACTACGTGTATACTCGAAGTATGTTATCAACAGCAATTGCTGTGCAGAATTCAGAGTTGGCCCATATACTTGACAACAACTTTTTGGAGTCTTGCTTGATTTGGCGGAAGAAACGATGTCCGGAAAGGCGGCCCGTCCTTGAGCTATGCGCACAATCAATTTGCCTCTCAGCATACCCCACAAAGCTCAGCCACACCCATGGACATACTACTCGTTTGATCTCAGTTGTTTTTAAGCATCATAATTGGCGTTGTTCTTTTCACCAATCATTGCGTCACCACTTCAGCCCGTGGAGGATCTTAAGGGTTTGTACAAGACTCTTGGAGTGGATACCAACGCTGATGAGACCGCAATCAGGCGGCGGATCGGTGGATCAATGATGGGAAATGACATGAAACGACCATAATATGACTTATGCACCTTATGATGCGTTTGAAGGAAGGCATACAGACGACTTGCTCTTCGATGCCACCCTGTCCGCATCTTGGGATGGAAGGGACAGTCAGGACAGACGGGACAGATATTCCTTTCCTGCCCAGGACAAAAACCAAGACAATGAAAACGCCACGGCGGAGCCAGAAGCTAAATTGGTGCATTGAATGCCTGGTTTTCGATTTACATGTTGCTTTGATTCCAAATCTGACTCAGGTTTCAGAAAATTGCAAATGCGTATGAGGCCGGCATTGCTATTGTTTGTGGGCAAACAAGTAGACGATCGAGTTCCGGAGCCTGGATTAGGTGCTCTCTGATCCCAAACGTCGGTCTCTCTATGACTCCACCGGCTGTGTGGACGCAGAGGAGCCGCTCTGAGTTTGGGTGTCCCTTACAACATGAGTACTTGTACTTTGTAGGAGCTTGACGGTGATGGTCTGTGCCACAGTCTGTCACACTGGGCCAAACTTTCAGGATTCCAGGGAGAAAGGTTGTTGCATAAAGACAGATTTTCCTGTTGAGGTTTCATGCGAGCAGAAGATTTGTTTGCAGCCTTTTTCGGCGGGGGCATGGCGCAGGACAAGTTCGCCGTCCTAGCAGGGACAACATATGACAGCAGAATTGAATAATATATATATATAGAGAGAGAGCGAGTGTGTGTATTTGCAGTTGTGATGTTGTATGTTCCAACAAAGAGGCATCAATCGAACAGTCAAGCACTTGGCTTGTGATCACGCATTTTAGCTATATTGCGAAATATAGCTATGAGCACTAGAGAAAGCTTGGATAGCTCCACAGACGAATCTTGCGACCAGTCTTACGGTTGATTCATCTAAGCTATAGAGTCTCATGTGGTTTGGCTCAGCACATCAACTGTGTCTATTATTTTATTGGATTGTCCAGACTTTGCGGTTTGCACCCCAGACTTGCCAATTGCGCCATATGTTCAAGATGGTTCACGTAAAGTGTTTGGCATGTGGCGTCACTAGCTTTTTGCAGGATCTTGATGATGAAGAGCAGGTGCTGCCTGACCCAGTCCCAACTGGTTTCTCTAGTCTTTGAGTTTGTTGCGCTGGTTGACATTATGTAAATCATCCAGGCGATGCTCGACGAGTTTCTCAAGATGACAGGGGCTTTTAGCTTTAAGGCCTTCTGATAGTGTATCCCTCTCAATCACCCTGTCCAAATGCAAGGCCGGTGGCAAGAAGGCCGCTCACACAATGCATGGATATTTCATGTGGTTCTGTCGGTGCATTCAAAATCGCTCAGGGCCGTCGTCGTCGTGGAAAAGCACAGGCCGCCTCATTTGAGAAGGTGCTGCGGTAGAGCGATTTCTTCTGTGGCCTTTAGTGATCTTTATTGCGGATTGTTGGGGTCAAGTGTGGATGGTGCGGATACGATACATTTCGATACTAAAATCAGAAGAATGGTGGCAGCTGCAGGCCTTTCTGGCTGCCATGGCAGGCAACATCTTGGATTACGTTCAATCCAACTTTCGATGAAGCAACGTAATTAGAGTTGTGAAGCGTCGTCAGCATCACATGTGAGGAATGCCAACCACGGATCCTACATGTCCTTCAGGGTCGCTGGGCTACAAAGTTCCAGTGAAGAAAAGGACTGACATGATCAAATGAGCAAGATCACGAATCAAATGGTTGAAGGCATGCCTTGAAAAGGAAGAAAGCTGACGGAGGCGTTTGCTGTAGTTGCAGAAGAGAGAGAGACAGAGAGAGAGAGCGAGGCTAGCTGGCTTTTTCTGCCTCTAAACTGTGTGTTGCTCACCAGGCTATGAATGTGATATTTGCCAAGAAGATGTGCCTGATGGCAAGCGGTTCTTTGACTGCCGAAAGTGTGACTTCAGCATGTGCGCAAAGTACCTCGCTTGCAGAAAGGGCCTAGGCTGCTCCGCATAAAGAGGGTGTTGAATCTAGCATACTTATGCCGCATGCCGAATAAATCATGATGCAGTCACTGATCTCATGATCCTTGATGGGACTGGAGAAGGAGTACATCAAGCTGCAAGGTGCTACAAGCACGCAGAGGCCGCCGCAATGGAGGAGGCAGAAGAGGAGACCCTGAGGGGGCTCGAAATACTTTCCCATGCATTGCAATAATGCCAAGTCAAACTTTTGATTGTGAACTGACTCTTGACGCATGAGGAAGAGGAGGAGGGAGAAATATTTGAAGCTTTCTGCTCGATGAACATTCAGCCAGAACGCCAGGCGCTATGAATCGATGCCTTGTATGAGGGCAGTGTGCGATGTGACGGCTAGGTGTTACGCCTCGTGTAACAGGTATTATGGCATGTTAACATATGTTAACTACTGTATATTGTACAGAGTAGAGTGATGGGCAGTTGGCAGGGTGGACGGCTGGCCTTCCGCTGCAAGTTATGTGGCAAACTCCTGGACACTCAGAGCAAGGCCCATCTCCAAAGTCGAAAGCAATCAACCAAAGCGCAATACCTTGGAAACATTACAAGCTATTACTAGTCATTTTGCGAATATCAAGAAAGACACACATATTTGTATACATTTGTCGGATTTCAGGAAGGCTTTCCCGTGCAACACGGCACATTTGTCAACAGCTTCAGTTGAGGCCGCAGAGCACCTTGTCGACGACCATGCTCAGGAATTCGAGGCCTAAGAACGCTGCAGTGAGCAGTAGCCGGGCCAGGGAGGAGGAAGAGGAAAAAAAAGGTGGGTGGGTGGGTTGGCTGGTTAGTAGGGAGGGAGGTAAATAGGTAGGCAGGGAGAAAAGAGAACAATCAACATGGGTGTGTCAGTGCGCAATGGGCGACTCGGGTAACTCAAGACAACTTCATGTCAGGTAATGCAGAAACATTGTGATATTTTAGAGTATGTAATATGTACATTCAGTGTGGCTCAGCCAACACCAGCGCAAGTCAATTAGTCTTGTAGATGCCAGACGACCTCACATGCCCACTTTGGCTGAAAACGAGAAAATGGCTTGCTGCTTGCTGGCTCACTGGACTTATGTATGTTTGTACTGTACTGTACTGTAATCTAATTGAACGTACAGTAATGTAATGTAATACAACAGTAACCGTGTATTATATGTACGTATTCTTATGTATGTAGGTAGGTATGTATGTAACTGTACATTAGTCGGCCATTCCGTCAGTTTGTTTGGTTCAATTGCTTGTTTGTTTGTTTGTTTGCATGTTTTCTTGTTGCATGCAGGTCAACACATGTGCCTGAATAATGACCACAGAAGGGTTAGGTTCAGGCAACATGGCAACCCCAGACATAAACCTTTTGTGGCCAAGGCCACCAAGACGATTGCAATAACTGTGTTGCGTGGTTGTGCAGCTTTCAGTATTGTAGGAGTACTGTATCAAGGCTTCACAGCACGGTTGGCTTTTGCCAATCGCATGCACACAACACAAACGATGTATGTGTTGATGTATTTGTATAAGCGCATACTGAACTTCAACCTTCAGTGTGGGCTGTGGCTTGAGTAACTTGTAACATGTAACAACTTCCCACATAATTGGACCTAGAGCACTGTTTCAGCGATTCGTGGGAGCTAGGTTCTTGGCCCTCAAAACATACTGCAGCCCGTCAGTCCAGTCGCTGGCAGGACTCACAGAATTGCAGGGACCGAAATGAGCGATGTCCGGCCTCATGCAAATCCATTCCACCTATGTCTATGTAGTTGGGGAGGGACACATGTGAGTAAGGCACGGAAGAGACAGTCGCTGTGGAGCAGCACAGAACACCACTTTAATAAAACAAGCAATGCTGGCAGTATCGGACCAGTGACCGTAAATAGCAAAATACAAACATCACAGAATTGAAGCGCCATTCCGCCACAATGGTGGTTGTGGCATGCCAGTCACAGTCGAACCATTTCTTTGCTGTGGTGTCTCCACTGCCTTGTTTCATATTTATACAGTGTGCACAAATGGACGGAATTGAACAGATGAAATAGAGGGCAAGAAAAAAACGTGTTTAAAATTAGGTTTTCATTGCTCATTATAAGATAGAAAGCCAAAGAAAGGCACCAGCGACACGACTGCAAACCTCAAAGTGCTGTGTCCGCATCGAATTGCATAGTTACCCCTCATGACTTTAGTTGTTCGCCGCAGATGGTAGCCAATGAAGTCCGTTCCGAAATGGGCGGTTATGCTGCCGCATCGTCTTCAGGCACAGTTGCCATCCACACATTCTATTCCATTTTGCACAGCCGTGTATTTGGAAACATGTGAGGAATGGATGGCTTCGAGGCATTCCTTCTTGGGGCCATGGAGGCTGCTTCAAAGCCCTTGAACATACACACACACATGCATTTTCCGTAAAAATCTAGGAACCACATGAACAGCACGAGCTTTCCTGCAACCTTGCTAGTAGCTACCTTTCCCAAAAGAAATATGTTTTGTTTTGCATTTGTCAGCGACATTGGACATGCTGGTTTGATTTCAGGGTTTTGGCCCGGGCCCAATGGGTGACCTCGGCGGCGGCTTTGGTGGTCTTGGCGGCCCTCCAAAGGCCAAGAAGATGAAGAATGTGTTTAAATGTGTACCATCATTGAGGTTTTGTGGATTCTCTGACAGGGAAGGCGTCACAGGAGAAAGCGCTGAGTCCAACTGGGAGTCTCGGAGCGGAGGCAAGCCTTGCACAGCAGCTTGCCTTGCAAATATCATGACGTGCTTGAATATCTTGCGTGCTGAGTTCGGGATTCTAGGTGGTTGCTGCCTTCTAGCGATCCATGTTGATCGTGGCAAGTTCTTAATTTGCAGCTCTGAGACTTAGTATATGAATCACTGCAATGTAGGTGATGTCAATAGATTGGTAGACTTTTCCCAGACTTTGCCGGCACATCAGCAAGATGCGGATGACCGAGCCTCACTTAGATTGGCCTGCAACTAAGCGTGGCCACCTGCCATCGAATGCTTGAAAAACAACAACAAGAACACCAAGATTGGCTTGTGCCACCTCTTGCGGCAGACAAGATACCCTTCATTGAAGATTGATGAAAAAACAAATTAGCCATGGTTGTACATGGCATGCATTGAATTGTTTCTTGGCCCAATGGATTCGCAGTGCAAGAGTCGTGGGCTTGCAGCGGCCTCAGCAAGGATTGTGTCTGGGTTGCGCTGGGATCCACGTTAAAGTCATTTATCAAGTCAAGCATCTTCCAATCATATACAAAAAGCTCAGGAGTTTGGGTGGTCTGATGGGTGGCCGTGACAACCTCGGCTTTCACGTTCTTCCCAGCATGCTTTGCAGAAGTGCTGTTGAAACGTTGGAAGATAGAGTCAGAGGTGATGATGGCAAGGGACCCCAGTTATGCACGCGACAAATGTTTGAAGTGTGTGGGGTGGGAGAATCAATGCATTCTCGATAGTCCAGCAACCCACGCCTTTTTGGTTTGACAAGAGTTTGAGAGGTTGTGCTTGAATCGAACTTGTGCTCCTTGGGCTTGCTGTTTGGATCGTAAAGCCGTTGCTTCTTTAGGTCGTGGCGGCAAGGGAAAAGGAGGACCGCCCGGAGCTTAAGTTTGAGACGCAGAAGCTTGATATAATTAGGGAGGTTATCATACTTTCTTGATAGCTTCATCAGATGGTCAATCAGGGTGTTGCAGGCTGGTCATGGGCCAGTGTCAGAGTGATCCGTTACCAACAACAAAGCCCAATCAAAGCCTTGTGTCTTTCAGATGTGCTACTTTGAGGCCACCGGAGCTAATCAAACCATGTGACCACTGTCGTGATGGTTTGATGCGCAGCAATGGACTGACAATTCAAAGGAAAACACCATTAGTGTAGCTCGGGACCCACAAGCTATTTTCAAGGTAAAGGAATTTTGTGGGAGGCCATCGCTAGTAGGTTGGAGGCCATCACTATTAGGTTGGAGGCCATCGCTGTTAGGTTGGAGGTCATTTTTGTGGTGTCCTTTCTCAACCTTCCAGGTATCTGGCTTGGTGGCCTTCCCAGAGACATAACAGATAGCGAAGTTGAGGGAGTATGCTCAAGGTGCGCATGCTGTTTCATGGTGCTTCGGAGTCTTCTTGAAAGGGACAAAACAAGTCATGTCATGTCATGTCCAAGATTCTCAAGGAAAGATGGGACTGACTTGTCAGTGACTGGCAGCATGTTTAGTATCACACGATGAGCATTCAACGTGTTCGGATTCGATACTTCTGCACGTACGTACTTCGTTTATATGACCAAACTAAAAGCCTCTCTTTGGAGAAATTGTTGCATGCAGAGGTATGGGTCTATTGCAGATCTCAATATCAAGCACTCCGATCGGGACACCTTTGTGTTCGTCACCTATACTCGACTAGAGTATGCAGAGGTGGGACGGTGTGTTGGTACTTAAATTTAAGCTTCAATTAGTCAGCAAGTCCTGAGTTCCTACTTTACTGCAGCAGCAAACTGTCACAGGATGCCATCAAAGGGCTAGACCAGAGCAGGGCCTTTGGAGCTGGTGTCATCAAGGTCAGAGTGCCCTCACAAAAAGAATGCTTTGACAAAAATATCGCAAGTTGGGCAAGCAACCCGCTTGAATTGGACTGGAGCTGGCACTTGCTGTGACAAGCAGTGCAGCATAGTTTGCGAAGGGTGTATGTTTGTGTGACCTTCGTATTACCATGTATTGCCTTCGTAGGCTGCGCCTGCAACTCGGAGAGGAGAAGGCAAGGGTGGAGCATCTTGGCACCAAATAATCTAGCAACCGAATGAATAGGGCGAGCGCTTCGTCAATGTTCAAAGAAGCGTGAGCTATCCTGCGTCAGTTCGCTAGTAGCAGGTTACCTAAAGTAGCCGTCGGTGAGGGCAACTATTCGCAGGCTAAACAACACAGAAAACGCGAAGAAAAGAAACTCGCTGAACTTGTAAAGCCAGGAAAAGGTTGGGCTGTGCTTGAAGAAGCCGATGCATGTTGACATATGTTGACATGATAAAGCATTCTGCACGAACGGCGTATCCACATACACATGCTGTGCAAGTGCGAGCGCGTGCACCCTTTGTAAGCCCAACCTATGTCCCTATGCCGCAAGGCTGTAAGGAATACTTCGATATGCTTCGCACTTTTGTTTCGCACAAACATTGGCTTCTCAGGATCGAGGCGACAAATGGGACCGGGATGAGGCTCAACTAGTAACAAGAAGCTACTAGTAGCAAGGTGCATCGCTACTAGTAGCAAGGACGCTACTAGTAGCTAAGTGCCTTTCTACTAGTAACAAGAAGCTACTAGTAGCAATGCTCAGTTGCTCAACCTTGATTCGATCATTGCTTTTTCTTTCCTCGGCACTTTGACATTGGACAGGGGAGGGGCCGGCGAGACGATGACCGGCGGAGGCCTGGCTCCTGCCTTGATTTGTTTTTCATCTGCAAGATCGGTTCACTGTTCACACGACGTGATGTTGGCAATTACCTGTGGCAGGGATAGACCTCGATCCAGAGACAGAAGGAGCTACGATAGACGTGGCTCAGGCTCAACTTTTTGTTTATTTTTGACTCTTATTTCCTTGACTCACACAGAAAAGCAATTGAACGATTATTTGTGCAAACAATAGAATACAATAGATGGTGCATGCATCGTCGTCTTTTTCTTGCTATGAACATATTGTTTGGCTGGCTGTCTAATGTAGTATATAGTATACAAGTGTATATACATACATAATATATATATATGGTTGTCGATCTAAAGGTCCTAGTCAGCAGTGTGTATGACGATGACCTGGAACATATCAAAATCTCATTTGGCGAAAGTGTTTTCTCGAGTTGGCGAAAGTAATTCTTTTTTTTGGCGAAAGATCTGGCGAAAGATTAAATATGTACTTTTGTATGAATGTTCATTTGCTTTCTGAACAGCTGGTGGCAGTGACTCAGAAGCTAGATGAGCTGTGGAAGTTAGATAACCTGCTGCTGCTGCGGCTGCTACTACTACTACTACTACTACGACTACCACTACCACTACCACTACCACTACCACTACTACTACTACTACTATTATACTACTACTACTACTACTACTACTACTACTACTACTACTACTACTA